ATTATAACAAGTTAGATATGCTCACATATATATTATTATAATAATGATGCCGTTTTCGCCGTGAAACTGCAAATTCTCTTAGACCTTAGTTAATAATAATAATGATAATATGTGTAATCGCCGTCATCTGAGTTTATAATATACAAACCCTGTTTGTATATAAAATGCACATAATAATATATTATTAAACTATAACGCACGTCTCGTTTGAAAGTTTAACATCGGTTTAGCATTTACTGAGATAAAAGTTTACTCGACGGAAAATGACAAAGTGCTAAAAGCGAATTTATAAACGATATACCTATTTAGGAATCTATATATTACTATACAAGCACTTGCAGTTTAGTGGTTACGACTTACTGGAAACTTGCCCGGGGCAAGTATAAATTTGTGTAAATTGTACGCAATACCCAATTTTAGCAGTCAATATAATTATATAGGATTACGATAGTATACTCTATCCTATGCGCAATATAATATAAATGACTAAATCTCGATAATGCATCATAGTATTATATTGTATTGTCTGGGAAATAACGTATTATTATTCACGTGAAACTTTTTTATTTTTTTTTTAAGTACTCATCGATTCTCAATAAATTTACGATATTATTGGAGTTTTTTTCGTTTTTGCTAGCCATACTCGAACCTTGGCTATAACTTCGATTATCGCGAGTCTACCAAAATCTGTTCATTGAACACCTCTATTACCTCGAAATGTATACAAGGTTTTTAAAAATAATTTTGAACTTATGTCACAATATCGATACACTCACGATAGCCCGGTGCAACATAATTATTATTATTATTGTGTAGTTTGTGTGAAAGAGAACTCGGATTTCCTCGGCGCGTATCTACCTATGTGCGTAATAACATGAAATGATCGATGTTTATTGCTACGACGACTATAATAATATAATATCGTAATAATACTATATATTCAATATAGTAAGCGTCATTTCGAAACGTGAGTATTATGTGTATGAACTGACGTTTCCGTTCGTACTCGTACACGATAATATATACAAACATGCCGCCGACTCCTACGCGGTCGTATAATATCAAAAGATTATTTTTTTTTTTTCGTCGTCGTCTTTCCTCCGTTTAACACGGCGGCGGCGTCTGTTGTTTGATAAAAAGAATGAGCAAGTCGAATATTTACGGGATGTGCGAAAAACGTACCTACACTCGAACGTATATGGAAATGAAATCGTTTGTAGTACTAAAACGCGTAAGGATCCGCCGCAAGTAATATACACGCTTTTAGTATACACGTATTATAATATCGAGGAGACTCGACCGAGTCGCAAATGATAGCTATTACAATAATATATTGTTACGACAGTGTAGGATTTTAATTTATGTGTTTACTTAGGTACGTCAGTTAGGCGTCGATTGTATTTATATAATAATAGTCGTTATATTATTATAATATTTCTATTATATTATACATATCGCCAATGTAATTTTGAATTTATTTTTTTCACTTTTTTTTGTACCTATTATCTTTATTACTATGATATATTTGGTTTATTGGAAATACTTTTTAAAAACTCGGTATAGTCGCCAAACGGTTAAAAAAAAAAGCACTAACCACACAATTACAATATATTATACCAACAATTGGTCTGATAAATGCGGTGTAAAATGTTATTGGTATTGTTTTAGAATCGTTATTATAATTATAGTGTTTGAAAATTTCCTGATATTTAAAAAAATGTATTCTAATAAATTTTGTTTTATTATTAAGTAAGTTTTATATTTACATATAATTGTCATAAATCACCTTCATAATTGCATGGTACCTAAATGTATACCTAACATTTGGTATTATACATTTAAAATGGTATTCAAAATGTTTAAATATATTAATGTTTAAATAATACAAGTAAGTATACAATATAGTAAACATGTATATTGTATACCTACTGAATTCTTACATTAGAATTTAGAACACTGAACATTGTGTTTTTATTTGTGTTAAAAAAATTTCAATGTTTCACCTTTTTGTGAAATATTTCACCATTATAGTGTAATATTTCATACTTCAAGCACTAATTAAAATATAATGTCTCGCGAATTTATTCCAACAACCGTTAATTAATATGAACTTTTAGATCCGGTTACCTACCTGGCTATCTACCTACCGCTACCTGTATACCTGTATTATATTAGATTTCGTGTCGTGAATAAAAACGTAACAATAGTCTAAGGGCCAGTTGTACCATCTCTGATTAAAGTTAACCGGAGTTTAATCGGCCAAATTTGCACGGTTAAATATCTGTTATCAGCTGATTAAGCTTAATCGTAGTTTAACCGTAGACGGTACAACTGGCCCTTAGGGTCGCTTTCACTAAATACTTTAAACTTCGATTACGCTTAATCGACTGATAACAGATATTTAACCGGGCAAATTCGGCTGATTAAACCCCGGTTAACTTTAATCGAAGTTTAAAGTAGTGGTGAAAGCGGCCCTATGACTGTGAGTGCTGTGCTGTGTATAGGCATATATAATACGCGTATCATATTGTATAAGACCGTACCGTCCGTACCTACGATATAACTCATTCACGATAAACACTTAAATAAATTTAATATAAGTATATTATATATAATATAACATATTACAGAAGTATTGCGGGTGCGGAAATCATGCACGCCGATGGGTCGTGGCCAAAAGCGTTAAATATTTTATCGGACTGGAGGAGGGGGCGGTGCCATGTCCTGCGCCGCACGGACCTTTGCAGAAATCCGCTTAAACTGCGTTTTAAAAACGGCTGAATTATTCAGACCGGCTTTTAAACTGTCAACTTTCGGCGCTCTCGGCACACACGCGTTTATACGCTCCCCTTTTGGTGGAAACACTATTATATAATAATATATACATTATACGCTGCGTGTATATATATAATATATAATATAATATGTACACGGCGCGTTATAGGCCAATATAGTGCAGATAGCGATTTCCACGGCTGTCAGTTGTGTCATCTGTTTGTCGACGCTACGGCCAACATAGAAACATCGTATATTATGTATATAATATATATATATATATAATAGTAGTATAGATTTACCTTATACAGCGAGGTGGACCCGCACTCACTGTACCGCAATACGGCAAATCACGACTTCTACATTTGGGGGCTCGTATAGGTTTTCGATTATTCATGCACAGTGCACTTTACCGCAGCTTTATTATTATTCATGCAAAATAGATTTTATACCTATTTTTAGCTTCGTATTATAGGATACTCCTAGTTTAAGTTTGCTGAGTGAACACTATATATTTTATAATATAATGTGATTGTATAATAATAATATTTATATTTATTTAAAGTTTTAAAGCCCCAAAGGGTTGATATGTCAGTAGTTATCATCTATAGTTTAAAAAAAAATCATAAACTATACTGATCTAAATATAGTACACAAGTACACTTAACTGTAATCAGTATCTATGTTTTGTATGACATATGTGATAAAAATCTCAAAAAATCATTCTGCACACTGAATAAACTATTAGACTTTGACTAATATATTTGAGCTGAGTTTCTGATTAAAAAGACACTCGTCTGTGTCTGTAGTTACCGTATTAAATTGGGAATCAGACGCTCGAGCGTGTTTCGATAAATTCAATGTTATGTTATGTTATGATATGTTCCCAAATATGTTCAGTTGAAGCATTTTAAGTGTCATTATACAAGTTTTTTTATTTGTTTCGTAATGGAAGTGAACAAACTAACATTTAGCAACAGGGAAAAGCGTTTAATTTTTTATGGATCATGGATAAAAGTATCCATCGATTAGAACTCTTTAATAAATTATACACAAATTATACCTGTGACCATGTTCAAATAATAATAATAATATTGTTTATTTGTAACCAACTAAACATGACAGTTAAAATACAAAAATGTTAACATGGTTTAATGGTTACACATCCCCTATATACACATTGGCTCTTAATGGGAATATTGAGTTCACCATTTATATAATATTAAAAAAATGTGCTCTATTTAATACAATATAAAATACATATACTGATATACTTTCAAAAGTATAAGAAAATTTAAAACTTAGATGTATAGTAAAACAGAAAAATTAATTTGTACACAAAATGTATACACTGGCATTACATTATAAACATAAGTTAAAGGAAAGTAACTGTACAATTTAAATATTAATATTTACATACTTACAACCATAAGCTATTGACATATTTTGAAGTACATTTTTTCGCCCAACCCCTCCTTTTTTCATTTCTATACCAGCTCTTGTATGTATCTATATGAGTATAATGTGCGCCACTGCAGCATTAATGTTCATAACAATAGCAGTACCTACCTACTTATACCTAATTTATAACTTCTACACCGTCAATAATATACAAAATAACGTTTACTTTGAGAATGAATACCTGTTATAATATAATATTATTGTATATTTGAAATTAATGACAATAATCTATATATGTAAAAATGAATGTATGTCTGTATGTATGTCTGTCTGTCCATATTACCATGGCAACAATTTATTCATTATTATTTTGATATTTCCGTCTGTGTGTGTGTCTATGACAACCATTTAAATATTATTTTGAGATTTCCGATGGAATTTTTTGAATGTAAATGGTTTCCATGGTAATATGTAAAACATATTGTTCAAATAGAGTTGGCATTTTTAATGGGCGACGAAGTGCACGGGATCAGCTATTTTTATATATATATATATATAGATAGATTAGACCTCTGGGCATAAGATAGGATAATTTAAAAAGGGAGAGGACCAACCCCGGGAGGTGCTCAAACAGGGATTTTGAGATTTCTTACGGAAATTTTAAATGGTTGCCATGGGTTTTGAAGCTACTATAATAATTATTATTGGTAGCCATTGGTTTAAAACATTCGTATAGAGTTGGCATTTTTAATGGGCGCAACGAAGTGGATCATATTATAATAATTAAATAATGTGATTTTAATGATGGTTTTCTTTTTTCGTAGACGTCACATGATGGAGGAACGGGAAGCTCAAAGGCAAATGGCCACGAAAATGATGCAGTCCATGATGGACGACCGAGACGGCGGCGTACGTCTGGGCGCTCTGCAGGGCCTGCAGGCCTGGTCACCGGCCGCCATGTCGCCCGGCGGCGGCGGGCCCGGAGGCGTCGGCGGCTCGCCGGTCGCGCCGCAACCGCCACCAGGACACTTTGCCCTGTCGCAGCCACCGGTCGCTTCGCCCATGTGCTGAACGGACCAATCGGACCGCGCGCAGCGGTTTTTCGTTTTTCGTCATCGTCGTCGTCGCTGCCACGATCACGTGTACTCAGATTCCTAAGTCCTAGCGGCACTCCACGTACTAATATCGAATAATAATATTATGTTTTGATGAGGTCTATTTTATCATATCATATTATATTATACCTATACAAGAACATCGTGCGGACGCGCTACTATAGTACGTGTGTACCAAACGGCCGTACCGATATTGAGTTGGACGAATGCAAATATTTATATGTTGAATAATATTTTACGTACAAGCGTGTGATAGTAATTTAGTCATTTTATTATCATTTTATCATAATATATTATCTATTAAGATCCTGTACAGAGATTCTTATTTTTATGACACTTTTTTTGTGACGATTATAATATTGTATGCGTCGCGTGTACTATACCTATACCTACATATTATAATACTGTTACGAGATGCTTTCATCGCGAATAACGATATCTTTGGAAATACAAGGAATTTTAAACCTTTAGAACAAATCCTGATTACTATACGAAATAGAAAATGAAAAAATTGTTTGTTCCTAACCGTTACAAAAAAAAATAAAAAAAAATACATATTGAAATTTAAATATACCTAAATTAAAAAAAAAACTCCTTATATTTCCAGAGATGTGATAAAAATAATAATAATTATACTCGGTATAAGTATGTACCATAATATTATTATATTATAATATATTGCGAACGAGTTGATGTGTACAGCCGTTGTGCGTCGAACAAAAATCGTCTGCACATATGACGCAAAACCATAAACAATATATAATAAATAATAATATTATATTCATATCATAATAATATGGTTCCAATGGTACATATTATTTATATATAATATAATATGTATGTGTGTGTGTGTATTTTATACAGAGTGTGTGATAGCAGATATACTATATTGAATTGTACATTGCGTTGATTCGTATTCTTATTATTATTGTGTAGTGCACGTCGTATATAGCTTATAGTCATCATGGATATAATGACGTATAATAATAGGTATAGGTAATATTTTATTATCATTCTCTTTTCGTATATTAAACACCTTGCCCACGCCATTATATATTATGTATTTGTAAATGTATTTTTAAATTGAACATATCTGAAACTTTTATCGTGTTAACAATATAACATTTTATATCACATATTACTATTATTATTTCTCTTCGACGTTTCTCCAGTGTACCTAATACCATTGATTATAAATACTAGTATTCATAATCAATCCTAATAGCTATATGAAATTTACATATTATTATTATTATTATTACTATTTGTATTATTAGTAGTATTTAGGTGTGATAATATGACATTATAATTTACACGTCACAAGTGCATCTCGAAAGTTTGGTAACCTTCCATTAGCCATGCTGTCAGTGAAAGTGTTGGTGGATAGGAGGGAGGGTGGCATGATAGGCCACTTGCAAAGATTTAAAATTGATTTAACGATGACATAATAATATAATTCAGATTTAAGTGTAGAGGTCGGTACATCATCTCCTCGAACCGTATGATGCGTGATTCCGGTCACTACGTCGTACAGTGTGGGGATGGGGGTTGAAGATGTTTTGTCAGAGCATATCTTTATGTCTACATAACAAAACGGTAATAGTGTTTATACATTTCGGAAGGGAATAAGTAATGAAGGGAATACATGCAATCTAATACTGATTTAGCAATAATTTTGAATTGAAAACACGAAACTATTAAATGCGTTAAGGGACCAACGCCGATCCCTTTATATATAGCCCATAATATGGACGGTTATTCCAAACATTCGCGAGCTATTCCGTGTACAAGAGATGGGCAAATAAATATTATCTACTTGATTATTCAAATTGTATGTTATTTAGATAACATTTGATTCAAATAATGAAGGAGGTACCTATACCTATACTATAACCTGCCGCGTCAGTCACATATGTGATGACTGATGATAGTATAATGATAATTATAATAATAATAGTATGCATGTTTGGGTAATTTTTCGGGAAATGTTCAATGCATATAATATTATGTATTGCAATAAAATTATTATTATTTTGTACAGATAGCCTCATTACTTCGTAAAACACACAATATAATATGACGCATAAACGTATCACTCATTATAATAAATTACGATCGTATTATTATTATTATCGGTACCTTATAATATTAATGATTGCACTATGTACTTATATATTATATATATGTAATAATACTATTATTTATGTAAATTTATAAAAATTGTAAATTTTTTATTTGTAATTTGTAATCGTGCAATGTTAGATATTATAATTTATATTATATAGTTATATTATATATAGCGAATACAAGTGGCATTACGCTAATAGATATATTATATTATGTTTCGTTTTATTTATTAAATGGATTTCATTTTCGTTTTTAAGGCGTTCCCACACTGTACATATAAATATAAACCATGTACATAGAGGATAAACGCGTGTATATATATAGATATAATAGTTTAGATACGCGATGAATGAACGAAAACATAAAAAATAAAACAACATTTCAATATTGTTTGACTAATTACTCTTAATTTGCCATTGGACCAGATCATTGTATATTTTTCGTTTGAATAAAATAATAATAATAAAAAAAAAAAAAAATGTTTCAAAATAATAATAATATTATATTATCGTGTCATAGTAATTTAGTACTATATAATGTCATGTAATATCGCTTGATCAATATTCATTAAGTACACAATATTATACATTATAATATTATATACCTAAACATACGTAGATATTATATTAATGACTTGTAATAATAATCGTTATCGATGAATCGTGAGTGTATTATATTTTATATTATATGCAGCCATATTATAATAATATTATGTTCGAGGTGGTGCAGTGTTTCGTTTTTAAAGTTATTAAGTAGATAGATATATAGACGTATATTATATAGCATTAGTCATATTTTATTATATATTATTATTATTATCATTTATATATATACATATAGGTATATGAGCTGTACCTATATATACATTTCGTGCTGAATACGTCATTTATTAGTATATATTATTGGTACTATTATTACATATTTATAATAATATAATATAATTGTTGTACATGTTACATACTACTTTTTTTTTTTTTTGTAAATGACCGTCGCGCATAATATATTGATTTGTACATTTTTATTGTCTCGGAATACTATATAATATATTGTATTCTATATAACCATAATAATTGTGCTTAATAAACTATATAATATATATACGTATAATATATTATATGTATAATGTATATATTCATATATAACATTAAAGGTTGTTTTTTGATATCGCGCGTGTGAACTATACATCCGCCAAAGTAGGTATACTTGCGGTATAGGATACTGCACGTTTACGGTTTAATATTACGAGTAAGTAACTACTTACATGTAATATTAAATAATATAATTCTATGACCTACCTACGGAAAGTATACCTATTCCGACCGCGAGTGGTCGATTTTTGGTTTGTTTTTTGACTTCGTGTTGGCCCATGTTAACAAAACGACCATTTGCTTGTATAATGATTTTTCAGATTTTTTACATTTAATGTAGAATATTTTTCTGAAGACATGGTCAAGCATCGATGCATCGAAATAGTTATGATATAAGTAAGTATTATGTCCAATATTGAAAGTAGGTACCCATTTCAGTGTAGGTATATATACATGCTTTTAAGATTGACGATCATTAATTGTAAAAATTAAAATACCCTTATGCCCTATATTATAATATACGACATAGGCAAATTGTGATCTCGACATCAAATATTTGCGAATACGTTTCAATGATGTATCAAGGTAAAAAGTATAACGTTCTACATTTTACGAGAGTAGAAACATATCAATGATCTTATTAATTCAAGTATAGGTAAATCAAGAATTAAAAATACTTTTATTTATATTATTATAATCTTGAATGTCTTATCAATACGATAATAATTGTCATTCATTATAGGTATTAAAAAAAATAAGACATTGACGGCTAATATATATAACCGAACGTTAAAGTCTCTTGGACTCACGAAATTCACTCACGACTATATTATTTAAATTGTTTTAAAACGAATATAATATTAATAATAGGACAGTACAACTTATCATTAGTTTAATACTGTAAAGTAACCCTGAACTAAGTGTTATAAGGACAAAAATGAATAATAAACAGCTATAGTTTTTACTATTTTTTAATTATTGCCATGTCCCAGGACACCTACGGCTGCATCAGGCTACCAGGGCACACGGCAAAAAATAGGGTGATTCTGTATAACACATTAGCATACTTCAGGCCCGATATAGTCGAATTGAACTTATTACCTAGATTAAATAGTGGAATTTCACTTGGATTGAATAAAGTGTTTTCAACAAAAATTTTCAAAAAATTAATTTAATTTAATCATTTTGAAAATACTATAATTTCCCTTCCTGCTTATACAATGTAATCATTGGCATACTAATTAATATAAGTTTTGTTTATAATTTATAGTTTTATATGTATATGGTGTATGTATATAATATATTATATGATATTTAAAGAAATACAAATAATTATTATTTTTTGTAAAATTATAAGAAAGTGAATTATGACAATATAATATTACAAATAAAACTCTAGACACGTACATAGATATGTTTAAAATAATTTGTGAAAATTGAAATGGATTAGGTTTAGTATTTACATCAACTTTATAACATTTTTGTGAAAACATGTTTTTTGAAATAAGTACAATGCACGAACCATTCCTAACCTAACCTAACCTAACCTAACCTGCTTGAAATAAGTACAATTCAACCTTACCTACTCGGGTCCACTTAGAAGATACTCCACATTATACTGTAGTCTGTAGGTATGACACGATTACACGAACAGGGTCACGTCTTCTTAAAAGCGTTTATATTTTGAAATCAGAATTGTTTTAATATACGTACATTTTTCGTTAATACCTGCAACTACGAC